GATTCGCAACCACCGATGCATACTAGAATCAGATGAACAACTTTTTAAAAAATACTTATGCTTGGGTTCCACTCCTTAGAGATCTACTTACTCAGTCTAGGGCCAGGGAATTTTTTAAAAACTTCCCCAGGCGGTTCCAATGATTAGCCAGGGCTGCGAACTACTGATTTAGGGGCGCCTGGGTGGCTCAGTCGTTAAGCGTCTGCCTTCGGCTCAGGTCATGATCCCAGGGTCCTGGGATCAAGCCCCGCATCGGGCTCCCTACTCGGCAGGAAGCCTGCTTCTCCCTCTCCCGCTCCTCCTGCTTGTGTTTCCTCTCTCACTGTCTCTCTCTCTGTCAAATAAATAAATAAAATCTTTAAAAAAAAAAAAAAGAACTACTGATTTAATCCAATCCCCTTACTTTCCTAGGGAGAAAACCAAAATCCAGAGCATAAGCAACTTGCCCAGAGAGACACTGAACATGTTAGTGCGTGGTGCACCAAGAGAAACGATGGCAATAGCAAGAATATGATGGTGATATTTATAATTTTTTTCTTGTTGGAGTTAATCCCGGAAGCATTTCTCTTTAGTTCAGAGAGGTGTTATATGATTTACCTTTTCCCGTGACAGCAGCACTTACTCTTCTGGTAAGACTGAAAGGGTTCGCATTCCCTGACCACAAAAGGACAGAGATGGGATTATACATTCACCACACATAGCCAGCCAAATTAGCAAACCTCCCTAAGAGGCCGCTTGAAATGCCGAAAATGCTTCTTCTCTACAGTGATCACCAGAGCTGAGGGATCTTGGCAGGGTGGTGAGAAGCGAAGGGGCTGGAAAAGAGAGGAAAGCATTCCCTCCGAGAGGGAGGGAGGGTGCTGAGAATCAACGGAGAAGCGACCAGAGCTGCCAGGACGGAAAGGCGAGGAAAGGAAAAGAATTCCAATGAGTCCAGGGAGCCTCTGCTCCCCCAGTAAAGGAACAATGATGCACAGCCCGGCAGTACCGACCCTCCCCGGGAGCCCTGACATCCAAAGGAGACGATCAAAACGGGCTCCGCGATACGCGCACTAAAGAAAACTTCTTCCAACACTCACAAAAAAAGGGAGCCCCCGCAAAAAAACCAGAGCGCATTTGCCCCCAAACCTCTACTAGTCCCTCGGTTCAAAGCCAAGATCTTCTATACCCTCCACCCCCGCTCTCAAAAGGGGGCGGTCCTGGCCTCACGTGACATTGCGGTCACGTGACCCGGGCCCCGCGGGAGCCGAGGTGCGGGTTCCAGTTCCTGGAGTCGGAGGGGGCCTGGCGTGCCCAGCCCCCAGCCCGCCGCCACCATGCTGTCCCGCCTGCTGAAGGAACACCAGGCCAAGCAGAACGAACGCAAGGAGCTGCAGGGTGAGCCGATCGTCTCCGTCCGCCGTTTTCTCTCCCGCCGCGGCCTAGCCTCAGCCCGGAGCCTGGACCTCGAGTAACGGCCCAGATGCAGGGAAGGACGCGGGCTGGTGGGCGCGGGCGGCGGGGAGGGGGTGGGGGCGCTTTTTTGGAAATCCCGTTCCCTTGCCAACGGGCTCTGGTCCCTTCGGCAACACTGCGAGCCGGCCCCCCCTCCACGTAACGCCCCCCACGCTCCGTCTCCCCGCATCCTCGCCCCGCCCCTGCGCGTGGAACAGCGCTGTGCCGATTGGCCCAGGGAGCCCCTCTCGGCCCGAAAATGGGAAGGGACGCTCCTGAGGGACCGGGGTGTTGGGGCCCGACTGGGATGAGAGTCTTGGCGGCCTGAAACGACGGAAATGGGGGTGGGGCCCTTCGAGGATCTGGCCTGGGAATCCTCAAGCCAAGATAGTGGGAAAATAGTGCCGGGGGTCTGGAGTCCTGGGTGGCTGCCACTGACTCGTTAGCGCCCCTGGGCGAGTCGCTTCCGTTCCCAGGGTACCAGTTAACTCACCTCTAAAATGAAAAGAATTAGGAAAAAAAATTTTTTTAATAAAAAGTTTGAAAAACAATAAAATGAAAAGGCTTGCTTTATGTTTTGCAAGGTCCTTTTCAGCTCCGGCACTGTGAGATTAGTTGAGATGTTCCCGCACCTAGCGGAATAGTAATTAGCGGGTGGCGACCCTTAGCACCCTTCAGAAAACCGAGTCTCCACTCCAATCCCTTTCCCCTATCCCCAGAGAAGAGGAGGCGAGAGGCTATCACTGCAGCGACCTGCCTGACAGAAGCTTTGGTGGATCACCTCAATGTGGGGTATGAACTCCCCATCAGCACCCTCCCCCACCCCCACCCCCACCCCCCCACACACACAAGTTTAGGCATTGACAAGGTCCAGACCTCGGATTGCTGTTGAGGGGGTGAGGTGTTCCATTCATTCCCTCCCCTCCCCTCCCCTCCGCCAGCTTAACTTCATGGGGAGAGGCTTGAGTCAGCTCTGACCCCTAACCGAGGAGCAGCTGCAGTGGTTGGAGAAGCGGCCAGAGTCCCCCCTCCCCACAGTAACCTCCCTGTTGCTCACAGCTTGATGCCATCTGCCCACTTCCCTTCACCCCTCCAAGTGCAGCTGTCGCCTCAGCAGGAGGGCAAGCACCCCCCTTCCCCAAAACTTGCCACCCTCTCCTTCTCTACCTCCCACCCTCTGGCAGGCCTGGGGAGCAGCTGACGGGAGAGAGATGGCACAGCTGGTGAGGGTGAGGGCAGAACCTACGCCAGGAGCTATAGCAGAGCCAGGCCGTCTCGTCCCTTCCTTCCGGGTCTCCGGAGCCCACCTCCTGCCACAGTCCTATAGGAGAATGTCAGTAACAACCAAAGACTTGGGAAGGAGCAAAGAATATTGTCTTTTGACCCTGAGTGACCCAGAAGAGTACTGAGATGATGATTGGAAGAAAGGGGGAAGTATGATGCCTTCCACCCCAGGACAAGTAGAATAGCTTGGTTGTGAATCCAGAGACTGAGTCACCCAAGTGAGCCATACAGGGACTGTCATCTTCATGACTCATCTCTGGGGAAGATGAGGGGACAAGGAGGCTGTGGTTGGGGCTTCTGATCTCGCTCCCCTCCAGACTTCTCCCTTCACTCAGTGTGAGAGTGGGAGGTCAACAGGAAAAACTAGGATTTTAGGAACTGCCAGGGGACTCTCTTAAAGCATTGGGAGCCCCCCTGCTATTACTGTTTCAGCTCCTACACTACCCCCCCACTATGGCCAAGCTGTGTCCCAAAGAGAAAGGACAAGGTCTGCCCCCTTTCCTCCCTCCCACATTGGCGCCTCTTGGGCTCTGCTGTGAGACTGGCCCAGACTTCTCCCTCTGCTCTTCCTTTGCTAGGGGCCACCCCTCTTCCAGCTTAGAGGACAACTAAGCCAAAGCCAGATTAGAAAGGGTTTTGTGTTGCTGCCCACGGGTCCTCTCCTTCCCTGGAAAGGAAAACAAAGCCTTAGTCTATCTCAGCCCCTGTCAGGTGTCCTTCCCATTCTCTCCACCCACCTCAACCCCTTGCCCCCTCCAGCCCCCACAGATTCCAGTGGGGGCTGGGCAGCGGATGTGGAGTCTCCCAGATGACCTAGAGCTTTAGGATGGGGAGCGAAAAACTCACCAGCCAATGAGAGAGAACAGTTGTTGTGGGATGGGGAGATTGGGGGAAGGGGGGCAGAGCAGGGGTTTGGGGATAGCAACCTCATGGCATTAATGGTAACTGCAGACAATCTTGATTGAGGAGAAAAGAAAAACTGCCCAGAGCAGAAGGAAGAAAGGGTGAGAGAGAGAGAAAGATTGTGTGTGTGTGTGTGTTCCTCCATCTGTGTGGGCGAAAGGAGAAGGGTTGGGAGAGAGACTGAGAGCCAAGAAGAAGCCCCTGGGATATCTTCTCTTGACCCTGAGTTCCTGGGGAGGGGGGCTGCTCGCCCATCCCACCCCAGATTCAGGGAGGGGCTCAATTTCCCTTCCCAACTTCTTGCACAGATCCCTGGGCTTCCAAGCACGGCCAGCTGTGTCCCTGCTGCTGGATTTTCCCAGCTTCTCTGAGCCCCCTCTACCCTCCCAGCTTCTTCCCCAGGGATATTCCCTCCAGGTTAATCCTCCCTTCTCTCACCCAGCTTTAGGAATTCCTCTGTGGGGTAGGAGATGGTAAGTGTTCAGTCAGCTCCCAGCTAGGCTCTCCTGGGAATGCTCGGAGTGGGAGGAAGCAGCTGGCTCATTTGCATGAATGGTAGTCATTTGCATCACATCCAAGAATGGCCAGAATCGTGAGGTTTTCCCCAGTCTGGCTGCTGGCTGCCCTCCCACCCTCGCAGTGGAATATTAGTCCTGGAAACCAGTCCCCACCAGTTGGGTGAGTTGATCTCATCCTTCTTCCGACCTCTAGTGTGGCCCAGGCCTACATGAACCAGAGAAAGCTGGACCATGAAGTGAAGACCCTACAGGTCCAGGCTGCCCAGTTTGCCAAGCAAACAGGCCAGTGGATCGGGATGGTGGAGAACTTCAATCAGGCACTCAAGGTGGGCCACACTCCCTACAGCACTGGGACCCTACTGACTGCCTCCAGTCAGGTCAGCTCAGGCCTCAGGTTAAAAAGAAAATGGGAATGGTCCCAGAAATGGTATCTATGGCCCCAGTGTCCGAGAAGCTAGAGATAAAAGTAGTTGGTGGGCTCAAGCAAAGCCCTTTCTAGGGGATGGCTGGAGGTGTCCCTATCTGCCACACTCCACGCACCCTGATTCCCAGCCTCCCATCTCCTCCCCTTCCCAGGAAATCGGGGATGTGGAGAACTGGGCTCGGAGCATCGAGCTGGACATGCGCACCATTGCCACTGCACTGGAATATGTGTACAAAGGGCAGCTGCAGTCTGCCCCCTCCTAGCCCCTCTTCCCTTCCCTCTACGCCACCCCTCCTACCTCCCCCATGGGGGAAGCTGACAGGCCAAGAATAAAACACAAGCCTCCGTTTCTCCGTGGTATGTTTCAAAGAGCTACTAGCCCAGCGTGGTGGGTAGGAGTGGAAGATTCAAAGACTGCTTCCCTAAGTGACAGTTACCTTTTGGGTAAAGGGTAGAACCAGCGTCCTCTTACCATCCCATCCCTCTTTGGGCCTGGTGCCGGTGCATGTTGCATAAGCAGAGGGCGGAAGTTTCCCACACCTCCCCAGAGAAGGTTAGTGGCACCTGCCCCAAGCTTCCTAACTCAGGACTTCAGTTCCCTGCAGAGGAGAACTATGACGCAGAGCAGGCTTGGTCCCAGCTTTGGCTCTCTGCTTCTCCACGAGCTCGTGGCCTCTCCCAGCCTGGTGCTAAGCAGTGTCATGAGTCCGGACCAGGTTGGAGATTAATTCTTGGGCATGGGGGCGCTTCAGGACTTGGAAGGAGGAGTGGCAGGTCCAAGGTCACCAACAGAGTGGCAGCTGCCCATCCTTGACATGTCCCTCCTCCTAGTAGTCCATGACAGAGGCAATCAGGCACCCTGGCTGGAAAAGACAGCCGGGAAGGGGGCCTGGGCATGCCTGGCCTGTGCCAAGCCTTGGCTTTGACTGCCGCCTCCAGCTTCCCTGGCTCCTCCTCCCAGCCCCCCCCCCCCCCGACACACACACTTAATACTTCCGGGACCCAGGCCACCCACTGCGGACTTTGGCATTAGCTGTAGCTAGTGTGGAAGCCTGGAAAGACTGGGAGCAAAGTCTCTCAAACGGAGCAAAAGAAGGAGCTTCAGGCACTGTACTACCTGCTCGCTTTCCCCAGAGGTAAGCAGGGGCGCGGGAGCTGGGTGCTCAGAGGGGGCTCCCCTAGTCTCACACGTGTTGATGAGTCGAAGCCGGCAGCTTTTCATGTGCTTCCTCACACATGATCGCCCTTGACCCTCCACAGCTCCCAGCTGGGCCACAGCGGGTGCTGGCCCCACTGGTAGGGTAGAAAACAGGTTCAGAGATGCGGTGAGAAGTTTGGGGCCAACAGGACTGAAGTGCTCTTTGCCCTGTACGTGTTCCCAAAAATAAGGCCCAGTTTACATGTAGAGAATTCAGATGCCGCTGGCTTAGCAGGAGAGGTGAAAGCCAAGCAGATTCCTCTGCTCCCGTGCCCCGGCCCCGGCTCATCTGGCTTTAGGTGAGGTGGCCGCAGATACAGGGTCTGCCTGGATCTTTGCTTTGCTTAGGTGAGCCAGCGTTTGCCAGTTACCTGCCAAGCAGATAACTTCTCAATCTGCTCAGACCAGACTTCCAGCTAGGGAGGATGTTAGGGACAAGGGTTTAAGAGCCAGAGTAAACTAGACAAGTTTTCCTGCCCAGCCTCGGCTGCCACCTGCCGGTCACTTGGGCTCTGGCCATGTGGCTGCCTCTGCTGCTGGGAGTCTTGCTCTGGGCAGTGCTGTGGTCACTCAGGGACCGGCAGAGCCTGCCCGCCAGCGATGCTTTCGTCTTCATCACCGGCTGTGACTCAGGCTTCGGGAAGCTTCTGGCCCTGAGACTGGACCAGAGAGGCTTCCGAGTCCTGGCCAGCTGCCTGACCCCCTCAGGGGCAGAGGACCTACAGCGAGTGGCCTCCTCCCGCCTCCACACCACCCTGCTGGATGTCACGGATCCCCAGAGTGTCCAGCGGGCAGCCAAGTGGGTGGAAACACATGTTGGGGAAGCAGGTGAGTAGCGCCGGGGCCGCCGGGCCATGGTGCAGGGTGCTCACTCACAGGGGCAGTGGGAAGCTGGAGGGACTGCGTGGGGAAGGAGCAGTGATCGGGAGAGAGTGCGCTGGAATGCCTTACCTACCCTGTGGTATCTGTCTCATCTCTCCACAGGGCTTTTTGGTCTGGTGAATAATGCTGGTGTGGCCGGGATCATTGGGCCCACACCGTGGCTCACACAGAATGATTTCCATCGGGTGCTGAATGTGAATACACTCGGTCCCATCGGCATCACCCTTGCCCTGCTGCCCCTGCTGCAGCAGGCCCGGGGCCGGGTGGTCAACATCACCAGTGTCCTGGGTCGCCTGGCAGCCAGTGGTGGGGGCTACTGTGTCTCCAAGTTTGGCCTGGAGGCCTTCTCTGACAGCCTGAGGTGAGGGGTGCAGAGCCCTGGGCTGCCCTGCAGAGATGACTAAAACCTAGCATGGTGGGGTCCTGAAGAGGAGACAGTTTAGGGCTCAACTAAACTGTTGCCCCTAGTAGTAGTATTAGTAACTACTACTTGTGATGAGCTAGTACCTTTACAGAACATTTTCTCCTCTTTTTCTCCCAGCAGCCCTCTAAGGGATGGGCATGAATATCCACAGGGTAACATAACTTACCCAAGACCACACAACTAGTTAGTGGAAGCAGTGGGACTTACCCCCAGGTCTGCTTGCCCCTCACCTTTATGTTCTCCTGCCCTCCATATTTAAACAGAAACGTTCAGGGCCGCCTGGGTGGCTCAGTAGATTCAGCGTCTGCCTTCGGCTCAGGTCATGATCCCAGGTCCTGGGATCAAGCCCCATGTCGGGCTCCCTGCTCAGCGGGCAGTCTGTTTCTCCTTCTCCCTCTGCTTCCCACTCATGCTTGCTCTCTCTAGTGCTCACTCTCTCAAATAAATAAAATCTTTAAACAAACAAACAAAAAAATTGGGGGCATCTGTCTGCCTTCAGCTCAGGTCATGATCCCAGGGTCGTGGGATCGAGCCCCGCGTCGGGCTCCCTGCTCGGCGGGAAGCCCGCTTCTCCCTCTCCCGCTCCCCCTGCTTGTGTGCCCTCTCTAGCTGTCAAATAAATAAATAAAATCTAAAAAAAAAAATTTTTTTTTAATTAAATAACAATGTTCGAAGTCCCATGAGAGCACGAAGGACACTTGACAGGTACCACAGGGAATCAGGGTCTGAATTTTGAGCAGTAATGTGCCCCCAGCCAGCCCACCTTCTATAGGAAGCCTGCCTTCGTCACCATCGCTCAGCAAAGAATTTCGTGTACTTCTGTCCCTGTCGCTTGGTCCTTTAATTTTCCAGTCAGCATCATGGAACACACACTTTCTACTTGGATTTCTGCATCTGTGTCAAGGAGGTTCGGTGCGTGTGCAGTCTGCCCAGCAAATACCAGGCTACACCCTTCCTGTCCAGCACCCAGGACTAAACCCTATGCTCTGGGACCTAGGGAATGGGGTAGTTCTAGGTCAGGAGTTGGCAAACTGGTTCTTAGGCCAAATGTGGCCAATTGCCTACCAGCTAATAATGGTGTGTTTACATTTTATTTTTTTTTTTAAAGAGTATTTATTTGAGAGAGAGAGCGTGCGTGTGCATGGGGGGAGGGGCAGAGGGAGGAGAGAGAATCTCAAGCAGACTCCCCACTGCTGCAAGGCTCAATCCCATGACCCCAAGATCACCACTCAAGCCAAAATCAAGAGTCGGACGCCCAGCCGACTGAGCCACCCAGTCGCCCCTGGTGTTTACATTTTAAATGGTTACATTATAAAATGGTGAGGTAAGTACCTCCCTGACTGATATCATTAATTTTTAGGCCTGTATTGCCAAAAATATTTACTGTCTGGCCCTTTAAGTTTACTGACCCCTGTTCTAGATCTTAGACTACAAAGGAAAACAAACCTCATAAATACACAGCCCACTTGCCCCCATCCCAGGACAGCAGGGATCCCCTTTACCTTCAATACCCCGGTTCTCGGCCCGTGATAACTTTCCCATTTTAGCCCCCACACCCAAGTCCCTGAGGATCCCTTTCCTGTAAAGGCAAGAAGCCAGAACCCTCCCTCTATCCCCATCCAGGCGGGATGTGGCTCATTTTGGGGTCCGAGTCTCCATCGTGGAGCCTGGCTTCTTCCGAACCCCTGTGACAAATCTCAAGTGTTTGGAGGAGACACTGCAGGAGTGCTGGGCACGGCTACCTCCCGCCACACAGGCCGCCTATGGGGACGCCTTCCTCACCAAATGTGAGTATCTGGGCCCACACGGGCTTACGAGGGGAAAGGAGAGTGCCAGAAAAGCCTGTCCTACACCAGCCTGCTGGGAGGATGTGAGGGTGAATGGGGTGCCACAGGACACCCAGGCCATGTGGAACCTGCCCACTTGCCAAATTGGGGAGGGACTAAGGATCCCTCTGACCTCTGCTGGGGACCAGCTCCAGAACCCAGAAGACAGGGCCTGGCATGGGCTGGAGTGGGAAGGGACACTGATTACAACCACCTCCTGGGATGCAGACTTGGAAGTGCAGCAGCGCATCATGAACCTGATCTGTGACGCAGACCTGACCAAGGTGAGCAGGTGCCTGGAGCATGCCCTGACTGCTCGTTACCCCAGAACCCGTTACAGCCCAGGCTGGGATGCCAAGCTGCTCTGGCTGCCAGCCTCCTACCTGCCAGCCAGCCTGGTGGATGCTGTGCTCACCTGGGTCCTTCCCAAGCCCGCCCAGGCAGTCTGCTGAATCCAGCCTTCCTGCAGCACATTGTTTCTGCTCCCACCCTGGTACTGCCTGATGCCTGGCACAAAATAAGCACTCAATAAATATGTCTCGTTAAACAAACAAAACACTGTAGGTGGGCAGAAATGAAGTTGTCCAGTGGGAGATTGACCCCATTTAAGTGCTACCCCTTAGGCTGACTTAATGCCCAGGGTCCCCAGCGTGTTTAGTACCTGCAAAACCACTAGCAACCACTGGGCACACGAGTGCTCTTTGAAGCTGCACCTGGAATGGCCACGAGAAGGCACCGTTGGACATTTCCTTTATTTTCTACAAAGAGTAAAGTTGCAGTTCGGTGTTTAGAGTACAAATGGCCGTTACCTATTTTTCTTGGGAGGGAGGGAAGGTAGTGAAGAGGGGTCAGGACCAGGCTGGGTGGTTTCCATGGGGAAAAAAGGTAATACCCACTTAAATTGTCCCCTCTATTTTTATTTTTTTTAAAGAGTTTATTTGAGATAGAGCACGAGTTGGAGGAGAGGAAGAAAGAGAAGCCGACTTCCCACAGAGCAGGGAGGCTGATGTGTGGCTCAATCCCAGGACCCTGAGATGATGACCTGAGCCAAAGGCAGGACGTTTAACTGACTGAGCCACCCGGGTGCCCCCTCTTTTTTACACTTTTATTTGAGAGAGACCATGCGAGCGAGGGGAGGGGCAGAGGGAGAATCTCACTCCCCACTGAACAGGGAGCCCAACATGGGGCTTGATCTCATGACCTGAGTCAGCCAAGAGTCGGATGCTCAACCGATCAAGCCACCCAGGAACCCCTAAATTGTCCTCTTATCTAAGTCAAGAAGGATGGTATTGGCCACAAAGGTGTCAGCAACTTACCACCACCCTAAAAGGAGCCAGGTCCCCTTTGTTGGGAGGGAGTTGCTAGGCCCTCAGAGGTGGGCAGAACACCAAGGAACAGATGCCCGTGCTAGATGTGGGCTGGCCTCTCCCAGGTAGGGCCTTTGTGGGGAATCCCTTTGACTTTTGCAGGACATGGCTTCATGAACATTGCAGCACTAAACGTGGCAGTGCAGGACTAGGAGACAGGGAGCGCAGTGGGTCCCAGCCTCCCCCAGATCCCCACTCCCACTGCCAGCCCCACCAGCGCCTTCAGCAAAACCCACCTTTCCCAAACACCCCCCCCCCAAAACACACCTTTCCTTCCCGAGGTGCATACAGAACAAGATCCCAGAGGACAGGAACATGGGTGAGGAGAAGAAAAGGCTAAAGTTATCACTGTCTTCAAGACAAACAGACTATTTTTTTCAGTCTGAAAAAATAATCCGTTTAATTGAAAAACCTGGAGTGTACTATCCCACTCCCTTAGATGAGGGGGCTGAAGAGACCAGACCCTCTACATCACTTCATAGCCACTTCGGATACTCTTCACGAGGCAGCAGGCAAAAACAATTCCCAGTACCTAAAAGTAAAGATAGAGCGGTGAGGAGTCAGAAAGGCAAAAGTATCCCAGGCCCACCCAAGAGACCCCAAACACAACCAGGGCCCCCGTCCCCAGGCCGGGACTTCCCCAGCACCCTCCTCCCACTGCCCCTATTGCCCAGATGCCCCAGAATGAGTCCCAAGGGTGCCTCTCACCTCCACAAAGGCAATGCCCAGGGCCGCTGCGGCCACCACCAGCACATTTCTCCTCAGCCAGCCCCCAATCTTCTCCACACAGCCCTGAAGGGTAGTAGGCACACGAGGCAAGAACATAATCAGAAACTTCCCACCCACCTTCCCCGGTCCCTCTGTCTCTTCCCTACTCTCTCTACCTTTCACCCCACCCCTAGCACTCCCAGATCCCCTCCCCATCCCAGGGACCCAACCCTCTCCACTCCATCCCTGGTCCCTCTCTCAACCCTTGAAATCTTTCCCAGGTTTCCCAAGTTCCCTGCTAGCTCAGCTTCTTCCCTACCTCGGTGTAGATGTTCTTCACATGGAAAGAAACCCCACAGTCCTTCGTGACATTGATGCAACAGGAGTCAGGAACTTGGCCCTTGAGCATGCTAGAGATGCCCTCCCAGTCCGTGTAGTTAGCCGCCCCGCAGCATTTAAACTGCGGGAGAAGAGAAATATCGAGGAGAAAGTTATTACGTGAACCTCCGCCTTCAATGTGAAGATAAGAATCTTCTTCCCCCACTACCCCTGCTCCCAGCAACCTCACTCACATCTTCCTGCATCTTGTCCAGGGCCAAAGTCGTGCGGTTGTCCTTCCGATAATTCCGCATCTGCTGCCGGAAGTCCTTATTAAATTCTAACATCACCTGGGAAGAGGAAGGAGCATTGCTGAGGTCAAACTTCAGGGCTCACACATATCAGAGCAGCCAGACCTCTGAGGTAGGGCCCTCCCCTTTTCCCCAGCTTACCTTGTCTCTAAACACATAGCCAGCAATGGCTGCGGCCACCTCCACCAGCATGATGAGTGACAGGAAGATGGCAAACTGCAGGCACGGTGGACAGGGGTCAGGTTTGGAGTCTTGGTGAGAGCGGCCTGCTGTGGCCCAGCCAGCCTCTAGCTCACTCATAAAGGTTTTCCTCACTTCAGCTCGTGAGCCCCCTCCGTGGACGCCCTCCCTGCAGCCCCGGACCCCCACGCTGGCCCCACACCCAGCTCACCGTGATCATAAGACAGTAGTTCTCCTTGCAGGCCCCACAGCAGCCCACAAAGGCCACCAGGAAGAGGAAGGCACCGACTGCGATGATGACCACGGGCAACAGGGAGCCGGGAGTGGCCCCCTGGGTGATGGTCTGACTCAGGACCAGCTGGGCCCCTACACCCACAGCGATCAGCCCCACTGCACAGGCCTGTGAGAAGGGCAGGTCAGGGTGAGGCCAGCCCCACAACCTGTCAGCCCTCCGTGGTGGAGGGCAGCAGGTACACCCAGGACACAGCCGTAGCCCCATCCCAGCGAGGCAGAGCCGCACACCTCCAGGAAACGAGTGCAGGGGAAGAGGGTGTCCCATACTGGCCCCACAGTTTGATCAAATGCCAAAAGAGAAGTTCCCAGAAAGCCCTAACCCCAGGGCACATACTCCTCACCTAGAGTGGTGCTTCCTATGCGCCTCAAGGGCTCCCAGAACTGCCCTCTCACTGTCTTCCAGAGCCCGCCCCATCCTCATCAGCTGTGACTAGGCTTCCTCAGGCCCACTAGGCCAGGGAGGAGAGAGGAGAAGAAAAAAAGGCAGGCGTGGTGTGCCCCTCCCTTGACAAAGAGCAGTCTCTGACGCCAGGAGCCCAGGACAGGAGCAAACTGAGGTGGGCAGAGCCCTTCCCCACCCCCAAGCAGCTAAGAGAAGGGATGAGGGACGAGGGCCTGGAAAGGAATGAGGGACTGGAAAGGAATGAGGGGTAAGGGGGAGGGGAGGGTGGGGAGGAGAGGGAAGGCCCACAGCGATAGCCATCAGGCCGGCCGTTGGCTGGTTGCCCCATTGCCCTGTATCACAAGTAGTTGGGTCACCAGACAGGAAGGGCCAGAAGGGGCGAGGGGGAGGGTGCTCTGCACCCACGCTGTCCATTCTTGGTCCAAACAAGCCTCTAGACGACCCCGAAAGCTGGAGGGGGTGGGGTGGCCATGCTGTCTTAGGCCTGTTCCCCGGGCTCTTCTCCCGCATCTGGTCTCCAGCTGCCTTCATTCTCGGCCCCTCAAGCCCTCAACACTCCGGATCCAGGTCTCCCCGCACCCTGCCAGCGCGCCCCCATCGCCCCCTTCCCACTCACGCAGAAGGCCAGCAGAAGAACGTAGAGCAAGAACTTGACACATTTCATTCCTCCTTCCACCGCCATGGCTGCCGGGCCTGGGGAAGAGGGGAGCGCAGGGAGATGAGAACCGGCCGAGGGGGGACCTCGGTTTCCGTGCTCCCTGCCGGCCCTCGAGGCCTTCCCTGCGCCGCCCCCATTCCCGGCCCCTCCCACCCGGAAACCCGCGGTCAGATCCACGTCTCCCAGGCCCCTCTTCTCCCGGGCTGGAGAGGGGTGGGGGCGACCGCCGCGAAGCCCGGACCCGCCCCGCCGCCTCCCGGGCGGGATCCCAGGGCGCCGACCGAGGCCGGAGCCCGACGCCCACCCTCGGCCCGCCAGACCCCAGCGCCCAACACCCCCTCCCACCCAGCCAGCCGCTACAAACGGTCCTCGGCCCAAGCGCGACCCTCCCCCAGCCGCCTTCCCCTGCGCTCTGACCTCCCCCAAAGCATAAGCACAGCCGACCCCCCACCGCACCCCGCCCGGGCCTCCGGAACTTTGCAAAGTTGCAAAGTTGCGAGGGCCTCGGGAGCGCGGCGGATCTTCGGGGACCCGGGGCGGGCCCCAGCGGAGGACGCTGCCCGCGACCTCCCACCCAGACTGAGGCCGCCCGTGGGCCCCGCGGCCTCACCTGCGCTCCCCGAGGCTGTGCGCTCCTCTCCAGCCGCGGTTCAGGGGCTCTCTAGCGGCGCCCCCCAGGCTGCGGCCCCGCCCGCCGCGCGGCCCCGCCCCGGCCTCCAGCCGCAGCCCCCTCCCCCGCCGCCTCCTCCGCCCAGTGGCCGCCTGCCTCCCTCATGTGACTCGGGAACAGCTGCGGCCTGAGTCACCAGGCCGGCGAGGGGAGGGCCGAGCCTCCCGCCCGGCCAGGGCCACGTGGCCCCTCCCGGGAAGGCAGCATCCACCCCCGCGAAGGGAGGGCGCCGAGGGCAGGACCTCAGGGTGCCTGGGGTCCTCCTGGTGCCCCCGGCCCCCGTGCCGCCTCGGGCTGGGAGGGCGGGACCCAGCGGCGCCTGATTCCGCCCGGTTCGAGCAAACGGAGGAAGCGTGTGCGAGCCAAGGCGGGGAAAGCGGCCCGGAGCTACAGACTGAGCGCCCGCGCCGGGCGGCTGGGCTGAGGCAAGGTGACGAGGTGGTCTTCAAGAGGTCTTCCTCCCCCCCCCCCCCCCCGCCCCGGGGCCCACTCCTTTCCTCTGGCTCGCGTCTCTGTTGGAGCCCCCACCCCCATCGCCCAGTCGGCAGAGGGCGCTGTTAGCTCCCTGGGATCGGGTGGGTTCAGAACAAACACTTCCAGAAAGTCCCTGGCCTCACGACCTGGGAGTCCC